TCCGTCTCCTCCCGCTTCTCCTACTCCACCTCCCTTTCCTCTGGTCCAGATATTTCTACTGCGTAATGTAATCCGCTTTACCTCGGCTGCGCGCCGCGCGGTTGACATATTTTTTTCTCTCTTCGTCGTCTAAAGTACGTATGCGCCGCCATACAATGTTCTAAGGAGCCTTTCCCGCTTTTTCTTTCCGCCCGGTAATACCATCCCGGCGGATGTAACGCAATATTTTCATTGCGCTCTTTGCCCGCAGCTACGGAAATGAATATCGTCTCGTTGCCGATATTAAAGTCAAATCAGCAGGAAAACGTCGGGCTAATATTACCATCCCCAACGAGCCGTTTGATGCGGAAAAAAAGGGTCGTACTGTGACAGTGCGATGAGACTAGCTTTATCTTCTACTCTATGTTCGCCTCCCTCCATTCTGATTCGCGCTGGCTTTCATTTCATCTCGCGCGACATCGGAGAGAAATTAGGACGGTTTTAGCAAAGATTATCGTACCACGTTGGACTCTCGACCGGACGTTTACTCAGCGATTTTGTTACCGAAGAATTTAATGCTATGAAAGTAGCGCTTATCCCTGATTTAAAAAAAAAAAGAATTTTCCTGCTACGATCCATTTATCGGCCGGCCGATACGCGATAGTGTATCACCCTATTGTAATCTTCGCGAGAGCGGTTTCACGAGCAGCGAAATGGTGAAACTCTCTCCGACGATTCTTCTCTTCGCGTTGTCAGCTTGCGAGAGTCTCGCCGCGTAATTGTGTACCTTGCGCTCTTCGATCAACGTCCGGTAACGAGTTGACATACGCGTAAAAACGCAGATCGATAACGTGTGTGTGTGCATTACGGCCGTGTGTCCGTCCGTTGGGATCGCGTGTACGGGTGGACGTAAGAGCGCGCGCGCTCGCGCCGGTGTCCACGTGCGCGGGGTGCAGTCGCAGGCGGGTACCACCCGCCGCACGAGTGCGAGCACGCGACTGAATTTCGCGGAGCGATAAGCTTTCGGCGAAGAGGACACTTAGCCGAAGGCCGGGGGCGAGTTCCACGAACGGGCTCTCAGAAATTAATTTCGATTCTCATGTTCCCGAACCGCTGTGCGGCTTCCGTGCACTATAGTCGAATCTAGATATGCCATAGTCTAAAATAAAAATGCTCCAATTATTCTCAGCAAATCGAAAAGTTTACTGGTGAAAAAGAATACGTCTGTTGAAAAAGAGAGTTCTTAAATCGCGAGATTCCGTGTCTTGTATTTGTAAAAATTTTGTTTAACGATAAAAATTGATGGTTTTCTTAAGAAAGGGACATGTCGTCTGCGTGCCGGAAACATATTGATGCGCCGCGTGTTTAGAGCTAATTCACATTACGCGGAAATCTGTCGTCGAACCTTACGATATACTATTTATCTTGCCGGCACTTTGCATCACGCCGCCGGCCGTTGTTTATGTAATAAACATTCTTCTTCGTGATAAAGAGCGCGCTTAGGCGGGCGGAAGAGGTTTCTTTCAGGGCGTTTCTTCGGAGAACACGAGGTTTCGAGGTGGGAAGGTACTTTGTCTTTGCACCATCGCGCGTGCAGTGTTGGATGCTACGGCATGAAGATTTTTTTTTTATAAATCGCTTTTATAGCCTGCCATCAGGTCGCTGTATAAATAATGTCCATTTATCCCCCGCAACGCTTAATATTTACAGCGAGTTTATTTACACCTTTTTTTTCGCTCAAGCACCGATAATGCGCTACTAACAACCGGAGAGAGTATAACCTACTAATTATCCGATATTTTTTAATAATGCTTGTTGAATTAGGCGTTTCATCAATCACAAATCTGTGTAAATCGTACACGCGACGGCCCGTTAAATTTATTCCGTGACGTCCACACAGAATGAATAAGGTTCATAGATTATATACGAGTATCGCGCAAGACAAGTTTGACTTTGTCCGTCAAATTATTTTATAGAATCGCAACCTTCGGTGCTAGAGAATGAGACAGATGATCTCATTCATGAAATAACAAATAATACGACCGTTAAACGTAAATAGTAGGCAACGAGCAAGGTTGCATAAAATACTGTGCCTTCGTCAAACGACCAAAGAATGATGCATAATTCCCACGCGCGTAACTTTTGCGTCTTTTTCTCATTATCTTATAGCTCGTGACATTCACCAAGGCAGAAACTTCTTTTTGAAGAAAAGAAGGAAAGACGACTGTCACTCTCATTGTTGACAGTTTCTTGATATAGCGTGAATTTCACGTCTACCGCCCGCGCAAAGAGAAAAATTTCGACGGTCTATCCAATTTTATATTCATTTCGGTTATGGAAATCAAATTTACGCGTTCCGAAATTTCTCCGTGAGACACTATTGAATTTTCTACCGTTATTGTCGCACATTGACGTAAACGGAAGTTTCCAACTGCATAATTGATATATCTTAAGTCTATGTAACTTGTGTGAAAACAATTTTGTTTCCTGCAGATTCAATGTTCTAGAAATTCAAATTCGGAAATCTTAAAACAGATGACCTCAAAATTATAGAATTCATAAATTCAATAAACGGTGAACTCAGAAACGTAAGTTTTAGTAGAAACTCAGACATTTTACAAGTTATAAATTAACATTTCAAGAGATTTTCAATTCAGAATGTATAAATTAAAACAAAAGTCTTCTAAATATAAAAAAAGTTCTGCTTTCAACATCGGATTTAACGGATTACTTTGCTCTGTGTTAAAAATTTATATCCAAATCTGTTAATGTTTAATCCGATAACTTTTAATTCGCGTTTTCTTCGTCGTGTGATATAATATTGCATGTATACGATAATCGATCTCTTCTTTGATAACTACGAAACCGCACAAAGTAAGGCAGCGGCTAACTATGCGCGCTATAAGTTAGTTCCTAGTTTCATACTAAGAAATTCTCTTCTCGCCCGTTGTGTCACGGCGTGGAAGGTTAAGCTGTTGCACGGCGGATTATCGATCCGCGGCGGAAAAAAGGCTGTTGCAATGCGTCCTATTTTAGGCTGCGAGCGAACGAGGCTTCGCGCCGTATTGTTCAGTTTGATTCTCTTCTCGTTGCAATCGAATGCACCGGACCTCACTCGTCAATTTTTTATGCGGTGTTTCAATGGCCAATCACCGACAAACGCGACCGAATACTCACGCGCCCGTGACACCCGTGTGTACAATGTATATTCACGCATGTTCAAAATATAATTCGCTAAAAAGCGTTGCCAGAATATAAAAATAATAAATAATAATAAAAAAATATATAGAGAGTAACGACGGAAAAATGATTTAGTAGTCATTTTATAATCAGATATTCGAATTCTTATATGTGTAGTTTGTATTTCAAAAGATTTATTTCCGGATTTATATTGCGGAGGTATTCCACGCCTCATTTTCAAAAGTATTTATTTCGTGATAAATTTCACAACACATGATTAATAAAAATTAGATGCAAAGTTTTTAATAACTATAGTAAATATCTTAGCAGTTCTATCTCATTTCAGAATAAATGTAGGTACTTGTGCGCAAGCAAAAATCTCTTTTTGTATATTTGGTACTTTCTGTATACTGCCGGAAAGAAGTCTGCCAGAGAATAGCTACTCCGGCGTTTTTCGTAGGACGTTTCGCCGACCCGTGTTCAGCGCTATCTACATCTATTTTAGAATTCAAAATACAAAGCCACATTCATTTTTCAACTATTGTTTGATGCATACTCGCGTTACAAATGTAAATTGTGAAGCAGAAGAATATATTCCGTACATAAATTTAATTATATAATAGTTATATAACGCAATTTTAACTCTAAAATGGATGCAAATAGATGCTTTTGTTACTGATAAATATTGATGGATAGATGGAAAAAGATTAAAACTAATGCATTGCAAAAATAAATATAATTAGTCACCACTAATTTCGAATACGTTTTTCTCTTACATAAATTATGCATCATATGTGAAATATTTGCTTTTTAAAATTTTAATTTGTATTTGTGTTTGTCACGCATGCATTTTAGAACATTCTTTATATATTGCTTTCTCATGTCAGTTTATAAAAAGATATATAGAGAAAAAAAATGTTTAACTTGAAGAAACAGGAAGAAAAGAAAAAGTAAGAATACATCCAAAAAATTAACAATTTTTCCCTATCATGTTTTATATATCAATATATTTTTGTTTCACATAAAAATACGTAGTTATTTCGATCTTTATTAGGATCTGAACATCGTAAACTTTATTTAAAAAATTTTATATTCTAAATGTAAAACTGTAAAAATTATAGTTTTTCTGTTTTTCTTATTTTTGACCATTCCTTCCTTATTTTGAGAATAAATAAATTAATATATCTTATGTTCTTAATTTTATCTCCCAAAATCTTTACATATATAGTTCTTTGACACACAAATGATATTTGCTATTATATTCTCTGTTATTTTGTATCGAAAAATACCAGCGAGCATTGCAGTAGGCTCATTGATTCTCGGGAAATTAAATTAATTTTTTTATAGGTAAAATGGAGAACACACTAAACTGTACGACTATCTCACAAATTATCCTCAAATATTAAATTGAATAGTGAAATAAAAAAGGCAACAGATAATGCTTATTGTCATTTTTCAAAGAATCATGAATAGAAGAAACGCGATTGCTTAGCATTTTTCGTATGTATTCTTATCTCGACAGTGAAACAGTTAATTATGCTAAATTTTGACTCAGTATTTGATACACAATAATTAATATTTTGTCATATAAAATATCAAAATAATCATATCTTCTTGTGTGCATAATGGAATACTGAGTCACACAAATTCTAGAATCAAATATTAGCAATAATCTTTTTTAGTCTATCCATTTTAAGGTCATAGATCTATGAAAAAATGTGTACATTTATAATATTTTTACATTTATTTAATCATAATTGTTTAATCTCTTTAACTATATATCTGATTTCATAGATCCGCAACCTCAATATTAAAGCAAAGATAACTTGATCTTTACTCACCAGTACGATGCGCAGCAGCGGAGTTATAGCTCATACGTAGATCTGTAAAATAAAAATATATATCAATTAAAACGTCTAAAATAATTAATAATTTTAAAATAATTATTGTGCATATTGATTTTTTTCATCAATAAATATTTAATAAACAAATTATTCCGTTATCGAAAAAATGTAATATTTTTATATGAATTCGACATGACTATAAATATTAGCATGTTGAAAATATTTTATAATTATAGATATTAAATATTGAGAATATTTGATTGATTATTCCATGTATATCAAATATTTTATATGTATTACATTACACAAGCGCCGGGAATAATCAATTTACATATCTTAAATAAATAATTATTTAATAATAAATAGATAAAAAATTCTCGTACCTAACGATTGCCCCGCCGATGCCGGATGCCCCCGGGGCCTCCTCCTCCTCTCAGTCGTTCATCGATCACTACTCTTTTATTCATTCACGAAAACATGATTAATTACGATCGCGCGATTCTTTCTACGGCACTCCTGATGCGAATTTTATCAAGATCGCGTGATTTTGCATGGTATACCGATATGTATTATATTGTGACGAAAGAATAACTCGAAAAGCGCGTTCGCACGGAGCTACGATCCGTTCAACATTCTTTGCGACCGGAGCAGACTCTGATGGCAGGAAAATCAAAAATTGCGCACTTAACTTTATCATTACGACTTACAAAACTACGTTTAAATTGCTTTTGTACGTTTCGCGTTTTTCGCTTATAAAAATTACTATACATTCGTGCTAAGGACGTCCTATAACGTTTTACTATCTCATATTATAATATATAAATGCGAAAATAGAAACGCGGAACGAAATTCCTGCCACGTCTGCCTCGCTAGAATGTTGTCGTGCGAATGATTTGAAAGTGATAGAGAGTACGTTACAAGGTACGTACGCTACGTTGTAGACCACAAAAAACAAAAACATACCTAGCGCCGCACGTCAACTCCGAAATATTTGGTGCGCGTGTTTTGATTTTTCGACTACACGTGCGAAGTGAGGGGCTTACGCACACTGTTGTTTACACGCTGTTTCCGTACGCTATCGCTTTGTTATTATTCGCAAGACTCATTCGAGCAAGGCATAACGCGACGAAAAAGCACTCTATATTTCTATATTCACATTTATACATTATAATATTAAATATTGAAAAATTATAGATGTCTCAAAATGTCAGTGTATAGTATTTTTCATGTTCGGAAAACGTAGGAAATGTATAAAAGTAGTCTAGATGTACCATAGTCGCGGCGGCAAAGTAAATTTTCGATTTTCTTCCGCTGCCATTGCCTTTTACGGATGCAAAGAGAGTGTCATATTGATAATAGCTTTATGTGATCATGTTTTTTGAGTCATTCTTTTACCAATAATATGACAAAATGCGCATCGAGTATATTGTGTAAAATATCGCGATCGCTTTAAAATTTATATCGAGAATGCGATAAAAAAACGTAATTAACCGCGTTTTCGTGAGTAAGTGTTAATCCGTAATAAAAAATAATCTCATCGATGAATCACTAAGAGGAGGAGAAAACCCAAAAGACATCAGGCAACAGCGGAGCAAATGTGAGGTAAATAATTTTCTACTTAATTTAATTTTTTTATATTTTCATATAATTATTTGCGGAACATATTAAAAGTTTATCCCTGCGACGTTTGCATATGGCATTTTGCATTTTGTGTCATACAATGAATATAAAATATTTGAGATGTTTTTGGAATACAATCAGTGAAATATTCCCTAATATTAAAATATTCTCCATAAAAGATCTATACAAAATCTATAATAAATCTGTATAAAATGGTATTTATGGCATTCTTAAATTTAATATTTATAAATATTAAATTTTTCCAACACGTGTATTTATAATCATTTCGAATAATTATATAATAATTATATTTTTTGGTAATTAGAAATTCTTTTGTTAAATATCTGTTGGGAAGACAAAAAATCAATATGCACAATAATTCTAATATTTCTAAAATAATTATTTTATACACTATTATTTGTATGCATTTTATAGATTAACGTGTAGATTACAATTCTGCTATTACGTATCATGTCGGTGAGTCAAAACTAAATTATCTTTATTTTAATATTAAGATTGTATAAGAGAGTCTGCAAAATCTATATCAGATTTATGTGCACACACACACACACACACACACACGCGCGCGCGCGCGCGAACCCAGAAAGATTAAAAGATTTATTTAGTGCATGCAAAAATATAATAAATAAACACAACATAGATCATGGTCTTAAAATTGATGGACGAAATTATTGTTAATATTTGATTCTGAAATATGCGATCATTCGCCGCTTTATTGTGCATAAGGGAAAGCATGCATACAGGTTTATAAAATAAAGCTCATTACATGGATGCGTCGATGCGATTATTTTAATATCTTGTTATACGATAGAATATTAATTATTTTGTATAAGATACAAAGTCGTCAACATTTATAGAACAGTCTAGGGTAATTTAAAAAAAATAATAGGAAATAAAAACGCGATAGGAAAAGATTAATTTAATGATAGGAAAAGTTAATTTTTTAAATATAGTTCCTAATTTTCCTTTCCTTGTTTCTCAAATATTTCTCCAATAATTTAAGATAAGTGCTTGCCGTATTCTCTTTTAAGGTTAAATATTATAAATTGACGTAGGAAAAAGCAGTATAGAGAGTCTTTTAAATAATTCATAAAACATAAGCATAAATACAAATTAAAAGTGTGGACAGCAAACATTTCATATATTAACGTACATACGTGACATATCATTTATATAATGAAAAAGCGCAATTGCGATTAATAAATTACTAATTATGTTTATTTTTGCAATACGTCAGCTTTGCAGTCTTTAAGCCTTTCTTATTTATCCATATTTGCCCAAAACAAAGTATCTGCATTTATTTTAAAGTTGGAACTACCATTAAATTGTATTATAATTAAATAATAATAATTAAATTAAATTAAATCCGCACACAAGATGTATTCTCCCGTTTCAGAGTTTACAGTTGTAATACAACTGTATGCACTAGGTGATGGCGAAAAATGTGACTTTGCATTTCGAACTCTGAAATATATGCAGATAATAATGATACAAAGGCAAAACCTCACGAAAAACGCCAGAAATGCCGCTCTCAAGCTTCTCTCTGGTACATGTTTGTCATGCACATTTCAATATTCTCTTTCTTTGTTTAATTTTTTTCCTTCATAATTAATATTTTTATTTTTTTATTATCACATATCTAAAAATACGTGCATAAATTATTTTAATATATTGTTAAACTAAAACCGCCCTAAAAATAAACACAATGTTCTTCAGATCATACAACTAGAAAAAAATGCGTTTTTAGTTTTATCAAGATTATATTATCAAAATAATTGATAAACACCGATCTCTCGATATTAATTCGGAAACAAAGTAACGCTTTACGAGGAGTGTGGCATGCGAAACGACTCGCATAATATCATCATTCTGCACGCACAACCGTGCCGCATGCATCGACAAAACTTTCGCCGCAAAAGCTTACATTTCTTTCCTTCTCTCTCTTTCTCGCTCATTTGGCATCACCACCATTGCGGTTCCCCTTTCTAAAAGAGGCCGACATGGATGTTCGGCTCGAAGCGACCTACCCCAAAATCACCCGTTAGGCCCTCTCAGGCGACGCGCCACGCGTCCAAGGACGAAACTTTCGCCGTACCACATCCGGCCCGAACCTTCCTCACGACATTGCGTGGCCTGCCTCTGGCGTAAATATTGTCCAACGCGTAATAGTACAGTCCCTGCAGTCATGCCGGACTTTCTGCACTCGACGAAAATTGACTCTTAAAAAACGTTAAATTTCAGTTGATTGAAATTTTTCGATATTGTTATACGCGACTTCTCAAGGTAGTTTAAATAAATTTTGTTATGAATTCTTCTTCCCTTAAAATACTTTGAATTTATATCCGAATAAGTATGCCAAAATATCAGAGAGAGACACTTGTATACTAAATGCGAATTAGAAAACCAAAAGTGCTTAACAGTAACTCTGTAAATATATGCAGCAGACACGTTTCTAATTAAACACAATCCCATGAAAATTGATCTCACAATTGCATTCCAATATAAATGAGAATCATGTGAAACGAAAATACTATTAAACTGCAAAAGTTGGCTATTAACATGTTTTATAAAAAAAAATAAAAAAATTGTGACAACAAATATGGTAAATGAAGAGTATTTTCATAAATAAGTAGGCTAAAACTATTTTATCAATATCTGTTGAACATATTATTTTTTATATTTTCCACCATTTTATTTGCATTAAACTAATAAAAGTATCACATGCGCTCGCTTCTCATATTTTGTAAAATTTACGTTTCTTTTTTTCTCATTTATTTTTCGCGCTTCATATTTTACTACAGTAATACAGATAATAAATTATTTTAATCAAATGTAAAATGTGAAATATAAGCGCATCAATTTTGCATATATCACAGCGATACTGGTAATATGGAAAAAATATGTAAGTAACACACAGTGAAACAGTGTTTTCCTGCTGGTGGAATTTGGAATATTTTACACATCGATTCTTTTAATTATAGAATAGTGTAACGTAAATATAAGTCCACGTTTCGATATATTGACATAAAAGTATATAGCCCGATACACCTGATGTTGGTACAACTTCTTGTAAGTTAATATTGACATAATTTGGCTTAATGCAAACCCCAGACGCCGCGTAACAGTTAGTATTTGCTTTTCTTCCATATGTATTTACCATACTGCAGGTTGGCTTTATCACTTTGCCGTGAAAAAATGTCGGCGGAATCGACGGAAGAATCGCGCGTAAGTTTTCCCCGTTCGACAAACACAGACATGGGAAATATTTTATAAAAGTACTTGAGTTTAATATTTATTTAAATCCCCCGCGTGTTTTGCGCGATGTGGAGATTTGCGTATTTCAATTCGCTGCGAATTGAAATCGAGATCGCCGTTATCACGACTAATCATGGAAAA